ATCACATATAAAATAACATAATAATTGGGTCTGGTCTGGATTGGATCCACATGTACTTGGATCCAATGTGACTACTATTTGGATCCGGATCCGACCCATAGGAAAATCCATCATATATAAAATAACATATAATATTGTAATAATTGGGTCTGATCTAGATTGGATTCACATGTACTTTGATCCAATCTGAATACTATTGAGATCCGGATTTGACCCATAGGATCCTAATATTGGATCTATACCTGGAATCGGATAGGGTCCAAAATTCAGGTTTTCGAATCCAAACTGGGTAAATTCTCAGCCCTATGAATTGCAATGGACGATATTTCTTATCTCTTTTATCTTTAGATCCAATAATCGTCACCTGCCCTGCCATAATCTTTCTCGGGAATTGCTACCAGTTCGCTTGAAACCCATGAGAATTCTCTTCTGATTCTATGTTCTTCTCTACTATGATCTCCAACTTAGGAACTTTAGAAGACTTTTCTGAAGTTATCATATGAGCAGGAGCGCTCTCATCCCATGGCTGCAAATTCATTGATGCCTTTGCCATTCCACCGCAAATTTTTTGTTCTAGAGCCATGCAAACTCGGTTTGCCCAAGGGTCCCTTGCAAAAATAAAGGACTTAGAAGTTCTAAGGATTTAAGAAGCTATGAGTTTGCAGAGAAGATGGCAACTGTGGGTGAGTATATATACCATTTGGCTTGTAATTTGCATAAAAAAAAATGTTGAGTCCAAAAAGTAAAGCTTTTGAGGCTTTGGACTTTGTTTCCCATTTGAAGGAGTATTGAAATGATTTTTGATAATATTTTCTTTGTTTCTGATCTTTTAAAATCTTATGCTTTCTTGGTGGTTTCTTTTTGTCACTTCTTTTAAGATAATTGTTTTCATTTTTGCCCTTTTGGGGCATTTTGAAATTGATCCTTTTTCTTTGTTTCCTTTCTCTAGTTTTATGAAGTTTAGTTTTTGTAGGTTGGTGGTGCCATGTGAATGGACGGTTGAGATTTTGGGGTGCTTGCGTGGAGGGCTGAGATTTGAAAAGACGGATTTGCTCTTTGGGGACCATAGTCTTTTTTATATTGGGAAGAAAGAGACACTCCTTTATATGTCTTTGATCCCAAATCCCAATCTTTTTACTAATTGGAGGGAAGCCTAGAAAATAGAAAGATGCCTAATTTTCGGTGTCGGTGTCCAATAGTGAACCAAAGGTTAGCCAGGTCTTATTAGGATTTGGTTTTAAATGTTAGAAGGCAATGTTCTAAAGGGGATTTTCTATGCGGATCGTAGATTCGGATGGGAACCGATCATGATCAAATTGGTTTAAGGATGGTATGGTTGTCCGGGCATGGTTCTCCCCTAAATATAAATTGATATTTTTAGTCTTTCATGTGACCTCGTTCAAACATTACCGGGATGTTGTATACCATGTCAATGTGTAGCAATAACATCTACTGTGATTGTCCATTCCAAATGCAAGTCATGTGGATCTCACAATCTAGTATTGGAGAGCAATATATTGAGCAGTAGTAGACCCTCCCTTTTTCTTTTTTCTTTGGGTAAATTAGTGGACCCTCTCTTGAAAAGATCTTGTATCTCTTCTCATCTGTTCTTTCCTTCTAGAAATAATGAGATATTTTAAAGCGCTGAAAAAAAAAAAAAAAAAAAAAAAAAAAAAAGAAAGAAGAGAAGAAAAGAAAAGAGATGAAAAGAAAAGAAAAAAGAAAGAATGAGATATTTGAATACTCTTGTCCCTTTTTTCTTCTCATTCTTTCTATATAAAGATCGCATAACATAAAGGTCTGCTTTTTGCCCGAATACTCTTGTCCCTTTTTTCTTCTCATTCTTTCTATATAAAGATCGCATAACATAAAGGTCTGCTTTTTGCCCTTAAGTTAAAAAAGTAAACGATTTCTTAAAGGAAAAAGTTCATATAGAGCTAGGCTCTAAAAAATTTCACTAGAAGAGGGTGTTTTAAAATTTGACTAGAAGAAGGTGTTTTGATACCCAAAAATCCTCAAATTGATCATCTCGACACCAAGATGCATGGACATCGGAAAAAAATGAATTTCGCGTTTTGGAAATAGTGCATCTTGTAACGTATTTTTGAACTGTCAGTTTTCAAGATTTTCAAGTTTTCATAGATCGGCTCGATCTATACTATTTTTTAAGCTTTAAATTTTACAATTAAAGATGAAAATATATTTTAAGGCTATCACAAAGATTTTTAGTATTGAAACCACATTTCTCGACACTATTTGAAGGTGCACATTACTTTGATTGTTTAGAGCCTCAGTTTTATACGAGCCGCACCCTTTCTTTAAAAAATCTGAAGTGCTTATCTAAAAGATTGCTGCTTTTTCATACTTTTGGTCCAAATTAGCAAAAGGCTCCATAAACAGGGGTGGCAACTGGCCGAGCCACCCCTGCCCTAGCCCAGCCCTAGTCTTAATAAGGATGGTTGAGGCCTGTCCCAGCCCTAACTGGCTAAAAAGGCTCTAGCCCAAGCCTGGTCCTAGCCCTGTAAGGGCCCAACCTGACTGGGGCCTGGCCAAGTAAAAAAAACAAAGAAAACGCTAGCCCGGCCCTACCCCCAGGTTGTGGTTGTCCGGGTCAGTAGTTTTTCAAGGCCAGGCCACCCGGCCCATTGCCACCCCTGAATGAAGTACCAACATTTCCTATCGAGTTTCTTAAGTGGCCTAACACTCCAATTTTTTCCTTTTTCTTTGAAAAGGACCATGCAAATCAAAGATCTTTTCTCTGTGCTCCCATTACAGGCCACACAAACTCCTTGAGATACTAGATACGCTAAAAACTCAAACCCAACAGTCTTGAAGTCTAGTGGATTGGACCAATACTTTGATCTGATTTGACTGTGGCCTATGACGGACACACAAGTGCCGATTCGAATTTTTTCTTTTTCCACTCAAATTTTTTATCCATTTTGGGTCCATCACATCAAAATTTCTGGTTTGGTATGTAAACTTTTTCCATTTTTTTTTTAACTTGAACTGTCATCGGTCAATTACAAATTTGAGGTCTTCGTGGCTTAGTTGTTGGGCATAAAGACTGTACTATACAGTATACACTCTTCCAAAAATCCAACCGCATGTAGGGGTGGGAATTGGATCGGGCGGACCATGAACCTGACCGGTCGATCTGGTTCTAGACCTTGACCCGAGCAGGGTTTAGTCCATGTCCAACTTAGATCTTGCTGGGTTGGAATAGGTCCGAGTCAAGGTCAACCCGGCTTGGTATATATTCGTATAAATACATATAGATCATATTAAGTATATAATATAAAATAAATATTAAGTTTTTTTATTATTGTTTTGGTTTATAGGTCCGACCCGACCCATTGGGCAGGGTCCGTTCCAATTGACTTGGGCCCAACCTAGTTCTTGGTCGGGTTAGGGTCCAACTTATAACTGGCTGGGTCGGTTCTGGCCTGAGCCATTCCCATCCCTACATAAAACAGTATAAACGAACCCAAAAGAGTAGTGGTGCGTATTGGGTCTAGTTGATCCGTGACCTGATGTAATGATGCAGCATGGGTGTATAAGGGAAATTTATCAAACCTCACCTAAAATAAGTGAGATGTTGAGTATTTAGGATGAACCGAGGTAGGGGGCTTGGACTTGACCTAGTCCAGTTCTAGGTAGTGGGGTTGGACCTAGCCATGTCCAAGTCCAGTCGCCCATCTATATTGGGGTTGGCCCTAGCCAAGTCTAGGTCCAATCACCCATCTATATTTGGGTCTGACCTGGCCAAATCCAGGTCCAACCGCCCACGTATATTTGGGCCCGAATCCGATCTATAGCCGACCCATTATATCCCTACAAAAGAGAAGAGCTATATAACTTTCTTATGTTCAATAGAGGCACAAAGCTCTTGGGTTCAATTCACAAGTTTCTCACCTCAAGCACAAAACGGTTTTGTATTTAAGTCTTAAATTTGATTTTTAGTTGCCAATCACTGCAAAATCAATGTCCTTGGGTAGTGGAAAACGAAAGTGAGACTTACCCCTATAAAATCTACAAAAATATGAAAAGCATTTGGTCTTTGGATGGCTACCTTAAAACCCAAAGTTGATTTATAGGTGGGGCCGGCTCTAATTCTTTTGTGAGCTTTTTATGTACGGATATTTTTATGTCATTTTATTATCATTTGTTGTTATTTTTTTCGAAAATTATGGGAAGTGCCTTTCTCCACCGTGTTTTTCTTTTAAGTTGCTCTCCTATCCAGTAATAATAACACCGGAGTTGTGATAAACCCACACACTCCTTAAATGCAGTGTGGTTCAATTAAAGAAGTGACACACTTCTAAGAGAGTATAAAATAAGTTTATTCCCTCGGAAAAAAGACCTAGTTGGGATTTTTTCGAATTTAAAATTTTGGATCCACTTAAGTGATTAATTTCAACTGTTAAAATTTGAAATTTGAGTTTTTTAACACTTAAATCTTCCCCTCTAATAATCGGAGGGTTTTTTATTCAATCTTGAGAGTTTGTCCCTTCTTCAATATTTAGTAAACTTTACTATACTCCCCCAAAAGTACGTCCCTTCTTTAATTTAACCACACAGTATTTAAGGAGGTGTGGGGTTTATCACCTCTATGGTGTTGTTATTGTTGGATCGGAGAGCAATTTGGGAGAAAAAAATTATATTGGGTGAGAGGTCCTCATAATTTTCAAAAAAAAAAAACATTGAATGGTAATAAAATGATACAAAAGATGTTTGTACATAAAAAAGCTTCTCTTTCGTTGATATTTCAAAGACAGCAACGAAGAAAAAGTTGATTCATAGGTGGGGCCGGCTTCAATTATTTCAAAGACTAACTAAAGTAACTAAAATACACATGCTTCTAATTATCTTTTTGTTTGTCTTTTCGATTTCTATTTCTAAAGTGGGTAATGGTGTGGAATTGAACCCAATTCATTGGTTGAGACTCAAAACCGAGCTCCAAGGCACAACATTATCTATTTCTAGACCTAGACCTGGACCTAGACCCGACCCGTCCAGTTCCCACCCCCATTCTTTTTTCTTTTTTCCCTCATTTTATTTCAACAACTTAGCAGTAGGATTCCAACGTAGGGAAATTTGAAAAAACAGAAAAACAACAATAATTCATGACCAATACAAGCAATAACTTGAAAAACCCTTGAGTTTCTTTCTCACCCGAAGTTAGAGTTCCAAATGCCTAAGTTTTTCTATAAATCTCATCGTTCACTAAGCATAAAAATGCTTAGACTTCATAAGTTTACTTCTTTCGATATATATATATATATAGAAAAACGTTGGTGTACCCATCCTTTAGCAACTATTTCTCCAATTCAACAATGAACATTGTGCACGTCTTCTAACATAAAAATATATGAATAAAAGCTATCCCCATGTTTTTATCATGAGAACATATAAATAAATTAAATTAAATTACTCACATGTTGTTTGTACATAACTAGCAAGTGGCACGCACATGGTACAAAATAGTTGTTGGCACTTTGGACAAAGCCAAACATTTCATATGGAGATAACATGTGCAAGTTATAACCAATAGAAACACAAAAGAGAAATTGGCAGAGAAGGTTTTATGGGTAAAAAAAATGAGTGAATCTCCATGGAGAAATCGAAGAGAGAGGGAGAGAGGTGGGTCAAAAGAATTAGAAAGATTGCATATGAGTTTATGGAAATTATGGTTGTCTGATATTTTGATTGAATGACTAGGATTGAGTTGATAACAATGTTACAAATCGGTGCTAATCATTTTGGTGGGCATAATTAATTTGTAATTTTTTTGTCAATTAGCTTGATTTGTTGACCGTGTATTACGAGATACATACAAATTATATGTTTGTGGAGACATGTAAAAGCTCACCAATTGAACGGGGAGTGGAAGAATGGGAATTGTAGTAAAAAACTGAAATTTATTGTTAATGAAAAAGGTTTGTTACTTAAAGAGTAAATGCAAAAGCATTGCAAGATGTTTTGCTAATGCAGACATGCCCTCATTGCTACAATAAAACTCACGTAGGCAAACAAACAAAATATGTAATCTCTTAATATAAGTGACATTTTAATGGCAAGGTTTTGGTCGGTTTTCTTAAAAAATCTATCTTCCACATGATTTTGGACCTAAAATTTTATAGGTAAATAATCTCATACAACTATAATCTTTAATTAAAATAATAATAATAATAATAATCTGACCCTTCACAATAAATTATTTCTGATTTTATTCTTGGACCATTCATCATTGCTCATTTTAACTACGTGCTTACAATCAAATTTATTATGTTTTCTGAGTGGCAAAGTCATGGATCCAAAGTAGAAGTGCATCCAGAGTGACTTAATGTATTCCATATCTCAAATCCATCTCGAGATGGATTTGAGATAGATTTTCAAAGAGGGAACACATTTAAATGTGTCACATGGTGTTTGAGACCCTGCCATGACCATTCTCCCTCTTCACGGCGAC